ATGTATTTACAGATTGTATTTACTACATGCATTTACAGATTGTATTTACTACATTTATTTACAGATTGTATTTACTACATGCATTTACAGATTGTATTTACTACATGTATTTACAGATTGTATTAACTAGATGTATTTACAGATTGTATTTACAGAATGTATTAACTAGATGTATTTACAGATTGTATTTACTACATGTATTTACAGATTGTATTTACTACATGTATTTACAGATTGTAAATACTACATGTATTTAATACATGTATTTACAGATTGTATTTACTACATGCATTTACAGATTGTATTTACTACATGTATTTACAGATTGTATTTACTACATGTATTTACAGATTGTATTTACTACATGTATTTACAGATTGTATTTACTACATGTATTTACAAATTGTATTTACAGATTGTATTTACTAGATGTATTTACTACATGTATTTACTACATGTATTTACATATTGTATTTACTACATGTATTTACAACATGTATTTACAGATTGTATTTACAGAATGTATTAACTAGATGTATTTACAGATTGTATTAACTAGATGTATTTACAGATTGTATTTACTACATGTATTTACAGATTGTATTTACTACATGTATTTACAAATTGTATTTACAGATTGTATTTACTAGATGTATTTACTACATGTATTTACTACATGTATTTACATATTGTATTTACTACATGTATTTACATATTGTATTTACTACATGCATTTACAGATTGTATTTACTATATGTATTTACAGATTGTATTTACTACATGTATTTACTATATGTATTTAATACATGTTTTTACAGATTGTATTTACTACATGCATTTACAGATTGTATTTACTACATGCATTTACAGATTGTATTTACTACATGTATTTACAGATTGTATTTACTACATGTGTTTACAGATTGTATTTACTATGTACAAATTGTATTAAAGCTGCCTGTTGTAACTTGTCGGAATTTGTTTTGTACCACTTCCATATTACAAATACTGAAAATGTATTTAGCACAATGACAATAATGTCTAATGCAAGAAATAAAGATAAAATATTACATTACAAGTAAAAATAACTTAGTGTACACTTTCTTGTACAATTTACTGTACTGTAATGTTGAGGTAGTCACACCACTACTGTACTATATACAAGGTTCGAAAAGTGTTTTCCCTTTCCTGTTTAATTTATTTTATTGACCCTATATTTATACAATTTTAACTATGTCGATTGTTAGGGATTTAGAGCAATTTCTAATAATCGCAAATGATATTGCAAAATTTTATAAATATATTAGTTGGGCCAAAAGATAAGCTACCTATTATATAATAGAGGTTAAGGAAACCTTTTTCAACCACGGTCGTATATATTTTGGTGGAAAAAAAAGGAAAATTTAGTTTAAGTTATTTATTTCGTAACTGTACGTACGTTTTGCCAGTGTAATGCACATAAGAACTCTTAATAGTTGGAGATACGATTCAGATTTCTAAGACTAACTTAAGATTTTCAATATCTCAAGAGGATTTTTTATTTACATTTCATGGACGTCAATTCGAACTCGTTATGGGGTGTGGTTTTGTAGGACCATCGCGAATATGAAATGACAACGGTGTGTTATTCATTTGTAAGTAGCAAACGTGGCGAGGCTGGTTAAAAGAAAACATTTGTAGCCTTACAGTACACAGTAGGTGGTGTCGGTCTCAGGCAAAACCGTGTTAAATAAAACTCAAATCGTACTTCATAGTTAAGTTTGAGAAGATATACCTTGCAAGCTAGCGTGGCCGACACCCACTCAGCTAGCTGGGAGAGAGTTTACATTGTGTTATACATACCTTCGTCCGCCGTGCTAGCTGACCACGAGATCGCAAACAACAGACCAACACCGACATATCGAGTCCAGCTCATCGCTCCCATCATTCTACCTGGTGAATCGGAACCTTTGACGTAACGACGTGTACACGTGATACACTTAAGTTACTAACCTTATAACGTCATTACATTACAAGTGTGTGTTAAACCTATAGCATGAATCAAAGTACTGAAAGTACTGAAAGTACTGAAAGTACTGATGCACAATTATAAAATTCTTGAATAACTTAAAGATGGTTTTAAACTGTTAAAATCACATTCTATTTATGTAGTGGTCATTCATTGAAATCGCATTAAAGCCTTTCATTCGTGAATGCTCTTTGTCAAATATCATGAACCTAGACCTCTTCCTTTTTTGGGAGAGGTAGCTTAAAATTAAGTATTTTGACATGCTTGACCCTTGCGACCTTGAAAGTTGATCAATGTCAATCATTTTTCAAACTTGATAGCCAATCTCTTTAGCTTGTAGCATACCAAATGTCAATACTCTGGACTTTGTAGCACTTAAGAAGTTTTTCAAAGGTGTTACCTTGATATAGCACTTTCGAAGTTGACCCTTATCGAAAACCGAAAGTTGACCTTTGACACACACAAAAATACCGAGAAAAAATTGCACATGAGCGTCTTCCACATCATATAAGAATATGATAAAAATGCCTAAAACGAATTTCGAAACATTCTCGTTTGAAGAAATGTTTACTCTTTTAAACATTTGACCTCTATGGCCTTCGAAGTTTATCAAAGTCAACTATTTTTTTTAACCTGATAGCCAAACGTCTAAGCCTTAAACAGATCAATTAGCAAGACTATATGCCTCGTAGGACTTGAAAAGAAGTTTTTTAGGGGTTGTTACCCAAAATAGAACTTTTTAAATTTGACCCCTACTAAAAACCTGAAGTTGACCTCTGAGACAAAAACGCTTCATCAGAAAAAAAACCAAATGCACTTCCTCCACACCTAAAGTTTATGTCGAAATCAACAACGATTTTCTAGACCACCAACACGAGCTTTAACGCCCTTTTTCAGGAACGCATTACTTTTTCACACCGTGTAATGATTTATAACTAGTGAGAAAGAAACTGTTTAATTTTATATGGCATACTTAATTACCGGTCAAACCTTGGTGACTGTTACAAAATTTGAAATTCGACCCGATGTTTCAGGATGGAACACGAATTCAGACAATATATCGGTACATGTATAACCAACATCTCATTTACATCAGTTACAAACAAGTTTTCCAAGCTTATCTTAATCATTCTGTTTGTGCCGTGACGGAAGCCCACAGACGATTTAATTCTTAATGTGGAATCCGGAGAAAATCCACGTGATCGGGCAGGTGACAAGGATCGAATTCGGCCATCCTGGTGATCATGAACACGAGCGCGCTATCCGTTGCGACACCCGACCCACCATGTACGTTACATACAAGAACAAATATCCACTTTAGTTTTGATTGGGAGAAAATAGTGACAATGTTGCATAAGTTATATTATTAATACATGTTACCAATTATCTATGATACAAAACTTCTACAAAAGGGAAACCGGAGCAAGTCCGGCTAACATGTTCGTTCAAACGAATGACCTTCATCCGTATTCAAGCTCATAGGTGTTAAGTACATTGTATGTCAAAATTGAAACGACTTCTCATTTCTATAAAAATGGCTAGGATGATAATGTTTACCCAGAACCATGCTTGGATGAAAGGTTTGAACAGTTTGTTACAAAGAATGGCACTGAATCACATCCAATGTGATAGGGTTCAAATACATTAAAAAAGTCAAACGACTTCTTCTCGAATAACCAAAATGCAAAGGGTGGCGAAAGGTGACCAGTAGCATTCTCAGATGAAGAACTATCAAGTTTGTTCATATAAATGACCTTGACACACTTGCAATGTATACATTTTGCCTGTAGCTTAATTTTAAGTCAGTTTTTAAGGTAACAGTTGTGGGATTGATACCAGGTGAGCGATGCAGGCCCATTATGACTCTTGCTTAACACATCGACATGTGGTGTACTAATATTATTTAAGTATACCTGTGTTATTATTCACATCATGCTTTGATATATGAGGCGCAAGACACTTAGCTCTATAAGGAGGTTTGAAAGTTAACAATCTTTCACATTCTCAAATTTATCATACACATAACAATTCACTCTTGTCGTATCAATAGAAATGTTTAACTTAAAGTAGCTATAACTAAATTTAATGTAACAATTGTCGGATATTTTCATCTTAATGTGGTTGTAGTTTACAAAAAAATGAAATTGCCATCTATATGCTCTGATGCATAAAGAGCTTATTAACATACCTGGTCGTTTTCAGTCCATGCGACATAATGTTTTGTATTTCAATTCTATTACAAAAGAAGACATTTTGAGCTATAAACCGCCAATTTTATGCAATTCTTAAATCGACTTATCGAAATAAAAATTGCTTGTAAACTTTTTAGCGCCGTTTTACGCTATGGTAACGTGAAGTCGTCATTGCGTTCTCGATGCTATTTTGCCCAGATTGTTGTTAGGTTCCATCCTCCGGGAAACAACTTTAAAATTAACATATGTGTGTTCATCTGACGTCTCAGATTGCATCAGTTAATTCCGCGAATGGATGTATGTCACTCGGAGTAAATCTTTCGTGGTACTTATTCTATAATAAATGCACTCGTTCTAGTTGAAATCTTTTCTAAATCTTACAATACATTCTTGTCTAAAATTTTACATATTTGGCCACGTTATCATGCAAATTAATATAAGCGTGTATGTTTGTAGTATAAATACGTTTACGATAGAACATGTGTTAAACATATAATGTGTTGCTGTTGTTTATTGTTTGATAACCAAATTGACCGATTAACCGGTTACTCGATCGGAAACCCTAATAATAATGAATCTACTGCTGTGTCTCAAGAAGTCTTGCACACCTTAAGTCCTAATATAAATTAAACATAATGTTAACAATATTAATTAGATATAACAAAACGAGATGTCTTTAAAATTCCAACTGTTTCGGATGCAGTATAACGTGCGGGGGTCACCCATCCAACTACTGACCACGCTACCCGTTGCTGAAGTAGTGAGCGGGTCCCTGCATGTATTATACAGGATCACTGGAAAAGCTAGCTTATCAGTACTAGTAAAGGCAGTATTTCCCCTCCTATTCCTTAGCGGTTACACTATCCCCCCACCGAGTAGTCTCGTCCCGAGACTTGGCCTGGGTAATCACGTAGGTCTGGATCATCTCTGTGTATTAATGCACTTTCCCTAACCACAGGTAACTGGCCTTACATGACCACAGATCCCACCGCTAACATCAAATGTAACGTGCGGGTGGTCACCCATCCAACTACTAACCACGTCTGACGTTGCTGAACTAGTGAGCGAGTTCCCGGGTTATACCCCATCACTGGAAAAGCTAGCCCGCCAGTAAGGCAGTATTTCCCCTCATATTCCTTAGCTTTTACAACAGAACAACTTTTACAGTGAAAATATCTTCATGAGTCCTATATGGGACATCCTTACTTCTGGAGAATTTTCAATTTTGATTCGGACGTCTGCTCATTAAATCTTTCGTGGCGGCCATTTTTAAAAAGTCTTTTACATGAACATGCTTATTTCTTAAATTTCCCACTCAGTTCAAACGCTCAGATGCCTCCATAGAACGCGCCCATCAGGTTTACAGCTGATTTACAAGTAACCATACGAGTTTAGTCTGCAGAAAGGTTGCATATCATGTCGAGCTAATGTTTTTTTAGTTGATATCAGACAGAATTGTGCGGCTCAAACCTATATCAGACATGCCAAAGTGTAAGATCATTTACTATGATTTTTTTTTTAAATAGACCTGTACTTAATTTCTTACGTAAGGCTTTAAATTTGTCATGAAGTTAATCCCCTATTTCTTTGCCCATTCATATCCTTTGTGGTATGTATTTATCATTTGTTGGTGATAACAGCACCTTAACTTTTGTTACAAAAGCCGGTATCTGTATCGTCCCAGGCAGACCGGTATCAACATACCAGTATCACCGAGATTCTATTCTAAGTAAATGTAGATTCATTCCAATAAATCCTAGCAGGTATGTCGTATGTGCAGAAGCGCATTCGGGTCTCATTTATATTTCGATACTAACTCGGTATCTTGACACACTGGCTCGGCATTTGAGAGCCGACTCAAATTTGATGCATTTATGGGAACTTTTGATAAACTAGATCGAATAACATTTGATATAACTTACTCGAAAATTCGTGAAACAATTTGTTTTGCAAACTCGCTCCACTGTCATGAAATATAAATACTCTACGTTATAAAATATAACCTGGAATAATACTGCAAACTCAGAAAACTATTCTATCTCTCACTCGATCTGTTTGACAATTTGCATCGCTCCGCTCGGCAGGGAAATCATAATTGTCACAATCTCAGAAATAATTAAGTTCGATATATTTTGGGGTGCCAGAAAGTAGTATACATGAACAACCGACATGACAGTTCTAATTTATTAGTTCTAGATAAGTGCTAAAATTTGTCTTTTTCTGAGTTACAAATTTTGGGCAACACCCAAAATTAATTCCTAATGAATATATTACAATGACATTTTGGAGAAGTGAAATTTTAATCTAAAAGGATATAAATGTAAAACATTGCTGAAAGACTCAAATGTAAATTAGTTTTAGCACGGAATTAGATTGGTTTTAGCTAAATTATATTTTTAAGATTTTACCAAGATTCTTGGCATTTAGCCGTTACCGTCGGCACTCTGGGTAGAGATTGAGGCGCTCTGTCGGTTTCTCCGGAGCTCTACCGCGTTGTAATTAGTATCTCCATATCCCCGTTTGTTTATTTCCGGTTTTGTGTGTGGAATGAAAGCCGTTGTGATTTCTGGTAAGAATACCTAAACCAGGACATGTCTGTGAACGAAATGGAGTTGACGTTCAATTTAGTATTAATTTAAAAACAGAGAGATATTCGATAGCGTTCGGTAGGTCATCTTTCTACATATTTATGATTAACAAACTCAAAGGTAAATATTGCGAAACCACTTGATACCGAAAAGACTAGCATTCGGGATCCCTTGTTACACAAATCAGATTTGACAGGGCCGGATCGGAGCACTGAGCAAGTCCAGCTGCGCACCTAGTGGACGTTCAAAATTGAACCAAGTTCATAATCATACTGAATTAGATGCATATAGAACACAGAGGGTCAGTGCTGTACAAATGATTGACAGTGGCCGTGGCAGAGGAGGCTGGGTATTAATATTACATGTAACATGCGAATGCTAGTCTTTTCGGTATCAAGTGGTTTCGGGAGTATTAAGTCGTTTCGGGACTTACTCAAGTCGTTTCGGGACATATAGAAAATATAATCAAAATATAAATGAATGTTACAAGTTACATTTCTCTTTCCCGTTTCGTAAAAATCTGTGTAAACACAGCTTTCGTCGTAGCCTTTCAGCAATGTCGTCACGATTTATGTGTACACAAGAGTACGCATATGGCGGCTTCGACCTACCCGTGCTTGGGATTTAGTTTTGCCAATTAGCGCCACGCTTAGATTGCTTGAGGGGTTACCTGCCAACATTAATCTGATTGACAACATGTTGTTAATTTGATTAAACTAATCCCATTATTAATTAGAGAGGAACGAACACCAAGTACCGAACCGAACGCGCGGTCAATATCAACTAATCAATCAATTATTTTTACATAATTTTATTGGTTATTTAAGGTTCCTTGTTTGATACCTTTATAATATGTTTTCGTTTTACTCTTTTCCCTAATAATGTGGCCAACTTGATCAAGTTTCCCTTTTTACAGAATGCTAATTTGACAGTAAATTCTGCATATAAAAAGTATCAAATTTTACAATGTAGACTAGTAGGGTGTGTTTTTGTAACCCTCATTGTTGAAACTATGAAAACAGTGATCTCCTCACTGAGGTACTCGGAGCATCTCCAAACGTTTTTTTTTGTAAGTTAAAATTATGAAATCAAAGAGCTCCTTACTGTTTGTTTTGCTGAAGTTTTGAAAACTACTCAATTAAAAAGTAAACAAAACAAACATAAACACTTGTGCTAAACAAACAGTAGAAAATAATCGATATGTCCCGAAACGACTTTTGACACTCTCGAAACTACCCGGAAAAAGGTCCCGAAACGACTTCCGTCTTGTTACCGAAACGACTTGTTACCGAAACGACCTGACACCGGGATCCCTGGTGGAAGCACACTATTCTCTTTCCTGTTACAAATGGTGTCTGTGGCACTTCCTGTGGTGACAGGGAGTTAGAACCTGGGTTGTGGTGTTTCAGGGCGAACACATTTAAAAAGGGGGGGGGGGGTTTCATATAGTTCTAAAAATAAAAAATAAAAATACATGTTTTTAACCGATCTCTCTGATGCCTCTAAATAATGTTCAGTATATTGAACGTTTTAGAGTATCCTGTTGAAGTTGAAGTGTACATTATAAGGATTAAGGTCGCCTTCGAGCTAGAGGGAATTTCCCTTTAGCTCATGTAGTGGTAGAGCATCCGACTAACGTCACTGTTCCCAAATCGGGTCACTTTTAAGATAAATATCAATGTTCTTTATACCATACTTTCAGTTCCAAAAATGTAGGCCCTTGCACTGGCGTTACTGTACCCTGAAAGGGACACTTCCTGTTTTTTGGAAAATATTTGAGGATAAACGATCAATATCGACAGAAAATATGCATCTAGTTGAAATATTTTAGAGTCGACGAAGGTTTTGATTAAATTTCTTCTCTTAACTAGCATTAGTTTTGATAAAACAGACTTCGGAGAATGATATTCAAATAAATAGCGTGGCTCAGCATGTAAATCAGGAAAGTCTTGTTTTGGTAATTATTCTTACCTTTGTCCATGTAACAAAAATCAACAGCCAATAAAGCTTAATTAATACAGTTTAATCATCATGAAAAGTTTTATCAAATGAAAACTGTATACATAAAAGTACTTCTTTGCGTTGAATGACAGTTTCTTGGGCCATTTTCCCACAAGTGTCCCGTTTTGGGTAATGTCCTGATTTTGTACATCGAATCCTCGATATCCAGGTTACTAGTCGGAGGCTCTACCACTGAGCTAATATAAAGGGAAATTCCCTCTAGCTCGAAGCTAGAAGGCGACCTTAATCTAGCTATTTACAATTAAAATCTGCCACATTTGTCTGAACTAAACCCAAATGTTTTGGCTAATAACGGAATTAGATCATCCAAGTCTGTGGGCTAATGTACAGAGAAAAAATAAGACTTATTGCAAGGAGGTACAAAATTCTGGAATCCTGTAAATCGGCAAAATATCTTAGTCACAATGCCGTCCCGTTCTCAGATTTTGATGGAGTGCCTAGATCTATATTGGGACCTTCTTGTTGAGGTTTAGAAGCTCGCAATTGATCACTCTGTGGATGTTGTCCCTTGTGATATATATTACTGAATGTGTTTCTTTAATTCTCTTTTATAGATATCTAATCCTTGACTTTTTTCAGTTTTAAATAATTCTACACATGGAATATGAAGAGCTGAAAGTTGCCTACTCTGACAGTTACCATGGAAACAGTCACAGGACAACCTAATAATGCCAATCCACAAGGTAAAAAATCATTGCAAGGTCATGGGACAGATGTAACAGAGGTCAAGGACGATTTTCCACAGGGCCTGAAAGAGCTGGTCAAAGCCAAACAAGTCATAATTAAGCAATGCTTGGACGTAGCTGAAGGTAAGACAACAAATCTGGAATTTCTGACTGACACCTGATAGACAGATTTGACATGCGCAGTCCGATGTAAACAAGATTGCGATGACCAACAGCAGTCGAGTCACTGGTACACGCATACAATTGAAGTAAAAGAAGGATGTAATCACGTTTTCTCATTTATGTTGATTGGTTTAGTTTTTTGAGCATAAAATATGACAAAATGTTATTTGATAAGGTCTAAAAATGCTAAAAGGGATGAGAGTAACAGCTGTCGCACAACCGTATGGTTTGGGATGCATTCTTCTGGGAGAGACTTGGCACATTTCAAATCCTTCCTACAGAAAAAGTAAGCTGCTGGATACAGGAAAACAATGTTAAATCAACAGTAAATGTTGACATTGGGACGTCATAAATATGAAATATCACAGATTTTACAAACGAGGATTTTAGACCACTTTTTACAAATGGGGTATCGATTTGACTTTACATTTCTGTAGTATTTAATGTATTTATAGAACTTCAGGTCTAAGGACTTCAGTTTTCTTGTAACAGATTTTTCACTGCACCTTATAATCGTTCTGTGTATGAATGAAGTATAGGAAAAAAATACCAAAAAAAATACAACAAAAGATTTGTTTTGATAATATTTAGGAAATAGCTCTCAGGTCAAATAAATTATATGTGTTTCCTATTCTATTTTTATTTCGAATTGAGGTAGATTTATATAAGTCATATATTTTCAAAAGATCTTAAGCCTGTATTATGGAACAACAACAAAGATTTGCTGTGTAACTCTACCTCTGCCAGAAACTGTACATGTAGCTATATAACTAGGCATTGAAAACCTCTTTTCCAGTCTGACTAAAGCTTTGATAAATTATCTCTGTAAAAGGGAAAACAAGACCTGGTGCAACTTTTATAAAAAAAATGATAAAGATAAATTAAACAAAACATAAAATCAAAAAATCAACAAAAAATGTTCTGAGGGTGAAAATTTAACGGTGCCAGCCTAGGATTTGAACTCCCACCATTATGCTGTTTCACTTACCAAATGAACTACTTGGTCAATGTTTTATTACCTGACACATTTTAATGAATTAAAAAAAAATTGCAAACACTTTTTGAATGCACTTCAATGATTCTGAATGTATAGTTTCTCCATAGAATAGTGAATTTCAAAATTATGGCAATAACATGTTTCAGAAAGGCTGATTAATCCCATATAGACAGGTGAATACATTTGTAGGTACCACTGCAAACTAAATTAGTTTTGCCTTCTAACATTTATCACCAGTTGTATTGTATAGTTTGTGTCCCTCACTTGTAAGATGACACCAAAGTCATCCATGTAATCATTATTGTAGACTTATTTTCAAAATGGTTGATAAGTTTATCTGGTATTTGCTTTTATTCATGCTCACAACATCTAATTTACCTATAACAGCTGATGGGGCCACTCGAGGGCCATTCTAAAGAGTTGTCCCACTTAAATGTCTTAAACTTTACATTGTGGCATTCCATCCACTTTGTCAAACTTTTCTCACAATTAATAGGCAAAACAGTGATGATTAGGGAGATGCTACTGATAAAGTAGAATGCACACAGGCAAGAGAAAGAGGTAATGATAGCAAGTAGGGCAACACACTGCATAATGGGAAATTTTCGCTTCAGTTTAATTTCTGACTGTTTCGCCCTCTGAAATAAAGGCTAATTTATCATTATAGCTAACATTGGTCAACAACATAATTTACATAGAAATTACCTGTGATAGGCAAAATTAACAAAAGACGAATTTGGATTTCACACACCATTTTTCTCTACTTTTCCCCTAAAGAAAATGTCCCAGAATAAAACCACTCGCACTGTACATGTAGGGCCTAAAGGCTCCGCTCACCATTAGTCATCTCTTATGATCATGCAGTGGGATGTGAAAGGCCACTTTTTGTTAAATGTCTCCAAACCTGCAGATTAATTTCATAAATGGTAAACTTAATACTGTACAGCAGGCTAATGGGACTGTTTGTTTTTTCAGCCGTTCTCTGTTGGCAGCGACCCTGCCGATACAGTCTCTATAACACAGAGGATGATGAAGATCACTTTCTTTATGCACAGGAAGGTACATATACGGTATTTACTGTAGTTAGTGCTCAGGATGCTCATTCACCCCTGAAGACACATTTGAACTCTTCCAATTCGAAGGTTTGAATAGTTCATTATGAAATTTCAGGGGTGAATCAGTTAAATGGGGGCGCTTATTAGGATAATGAAATGTGAGATACATGAAGAATTGACAAGTTGTACAACTTCAACCATGTCTACAGTTTAACAGGAGGAATCATTTTTAATATAACATTCCAGTGTGGCTAGAGGTTTGGATATCAAATGTTTCATCCGCTTAACTCATTCCCCCCGAACTCACATTATGAACTATTCCAATCATTGAATTGGAAGAGTACAAATATATCTTCAGGGGTGAAAGAGTTAATAGGAAATTCCGTCATGATCACCAGATATATATATATATCTGTTTCAAACTGTAGGTGCTGTAAATCATTGACTGGGCCTTGTCAGGTCTGGCAGGGGGTAATTTCAATTTCTCTCCCAAAAGGGTGAGGGGCAGACAATACTGTACAATACAAATTCAGGATCTGCACATGTATCTTTTGTCAGAATAGGATACCAAAGGTTGAAAGTAACAAAGACATGCAGTAGTAACATGTCACAGAAAAAGTCATGCTATCAGCTAATTGACTTTTTATGTGAACTTTTGATTTTATATTTTTAAAGTTCAGTAATAAATGGGTTAAACACCTGATCTCTCTTGGCTAAGATAGGAGACATACTTGTGAAAGGTGGGAGAATACTTAAATCTACCCCTACTTTGAGGGTGTGACAGAAATTCTCTTTTACCCCAAATTGTGATACAGTAGGTTGGAGATTTCTCGGTCTCTCACTCCAGACAGAGAAGATTCTTTTATTCTCCAACCTTTGCACATATACAAGATAACCCTATACCATGTTGAACCCCCATCTGGCATAACTTTATTCTAAAGACCACCAGTTCGAGGGCAACATTTATTTGCTCTCAATCCGGCCAAGAAATTGCATCAAAATAAAAGTTTAAGTTTAAAATATTCCAGCTGACGTTCTGAAACCCGACGTCATTAAGATGTTGTAGGTGACGTCATTGAATTGACATTTTAGTCAGTGGTAAAATATCTACTGATAAATCAGTTGTTGCAAAAATAAATGAAGTTTATATTTATATTTAATCTGTAAATATGAAGGGTTTTTTGGCAGTTTCAGTTATTTTGACAATATTAACAACTGCAATTAACTAGAATCTTAAAATATTTTCAAAATTGTTAGTACCTCTAATTTGTGTACCTATGTGTTACATGGTGTAAAACATGTATACACAAAATGTACTTCAATACAATTTATGCACAAAATTTACTTCAATAAAGTGTTTATCCACCCAGTGTATGTATTTCAATTTCTTCAGCGAAATAATGCTTATTTGTTTATATCTTAATCTGTGTTCTTCCTACCAGTTATAGCGTAACAATACTATTACCCATGGATTTTGAGTTGCTACGCATCACCATTTTACCGTTACGCATCACCATTTTACCGTTACTCATCAACTGACAAGTTCTCACAAATCATGATAGGCCTAACCTCTTCTCCCCTTTCCAATTAGACTCACCCTCATTAATAATTAATGACTCAATATACTATGCTGAGGGAAGTCAGGCGGTCGGGTGGCCCATTAGATAACTCACTCACTTTTCACCAAGGAGACCGGGGTTTGATTCCCCAATCAGATGTGAAAAGGTATGGGGTCACTTGCCTATAACCACAGGGGTTTTCTCCAGGTATTCCGGTTTCCTTCCACACTAAGAACCCATGCGTGATAACATATAGGCCAATAAGATTGATTAATATAAGTTGAAGTAACTTGTTTCATAAATGTTGTAAAACAAATCAAGTTTATGTTTAGAAATGAACTAATTATATTGATTATGGGATTTTCTATATATATAATAGGATTCGGAAAGGGAAAACTGATTGATTTTCAATTATAATCAATCATCAGCCCATCACTGATATAAAAATATTACTTTTTCTCTGTGACATATATAAGTAGGTTAGATCGCTTGTAACTGGGTTAATTGACTCAAAATACAAAATGGCTCAAAGAGCCTGTTCTTTGTTTTGCAAAGACTTTTTTGACTAAATTTTAAATGTAACTTGACAAGTTGAATGTTAACCAAGTGTCATTCATATGTTTCTGTTGTTGTCTTTGCCAAGCAATGTTTATTTATTCTTTGGATTTAAAAAAAAACATTAGATGACCAGCATGGTGTCGATTTAATTAGCAGAAACATTTATACTTCCTGCCTAAAATAACTAAAGAGCATATTATAAGCAATACAGGCCCAATGGGCCTCATGTTTTCAATTTTACCAAAAGTTAATTCTCAACACACATATAACAGCATTGTTAATGTGGTTTTTTTTTGGTATTTAATAAAACAATTACAATTACAAAAAACAATTGTGTGTTATACTTACTATTTTATTTTTTATTTTTGTCTGAACAGTTTCAGCGTGCTATTTACGCCAATGCCTGGGAGCTATGCGAGGTTTCGTTATGAAGTTCAGTAATGCAGAGATGCAGGATGTGATGAGACTGCAGCGCCCCCTACGATGTCCGTGCGGAATATGCTGGTGGTGGTGTTGCTGTCATCAGGAGCTCGCCATTGAGAGCCCGCCAGGAAATCCCATCGGACGCATTGAAGAAAAGTAAGGGGGTGCAATCACCTTGAAAATTAATTGTATGAAATCGAAATTTAAATCTGCAGTCGTTCCGCTGTGGTTATTGTCACTGTTAATGCATGTGTGAGATCATTTGAGAAATTGATCCACTTGCTTTACAATCTCTGTATGTTGAACTTTGTTAATCTGGAGAACTTAGTTTGTAGCCTAGCTTTAAACCATCCTCGTACCACTGCCAGAAACTAATTTCACACTGGATTTTTTTTCCATCATGGCTATATGGCTATAGCTTTGATAAATCAATTCTGGGAAGAAAACCATACCTTGCCTGACTTTTATGAAAAATAACAGAGATGAAATAAAGTATAAACAACAACAGTAGCCTTAGTGTAAAATATACTTGCAAGGCAAGAATGAGAAAATTGTTCATGAACAAGTGAAACTGCTTAAGGCAAATGTATCTCCATTTTTCAGTCGTATGTTCTGCTGTCCAAGATACGAGATCATTGACGATAGTGACCGTGTTGTCTTCCATATAGAATTCTCCTGCTGCCTATGTAAACTTTGTGCTGACGTGTCTATACAGGTATGTGTGTGTGTACAGATTTGATAAATATAGAATTCTCCTGCTGCCTATGTAAACTTTGTACTGATGTGTCTATTCAGGTATGTGTGTCTATACAGGTATGTGTGTGTGTACAGATTTGATAAATATAGAATCTTAACTTAACACATTTGGCGAAATTTTACTTGAAGAATCATCATACCAATGCCAAACATCCTTAAGATGTGACATCATTTCATGCAGTGACATTACCAAATAAAGCCCCATGAAATAGTAAATCAATTACATCTGATATCTTTTAACCATTGAAGATTTGTTGAGACAGAGCAGATTGATGTGTTTTGAGTTTTTCTTTTTTCCAAAAAAAAAATTGGTTCTTCATGAAAATTTATTTTCACAGAAAATTATTGTTGATTTTTGATAACACTCCATAAAAAATATTCTTATAAAGTGGGGGTCAGAATATATAAAATTATATTTACTCAATAACAAGGTCCCCCAGGGGACTGCTAGGTGAGGCTATAAGTGGACCCAAGGAGCAAAACCTTCAGAAGATATCTCCTCAGAAACTTGAACTAACATTTCATAAAATGATGCCTATATGATGAGAATCAAAATCCTTAATTAATAAGGGGCTTACCCCCAGAAGGCCAAGGGGCAGAGCCATTAGGTTTCCCAATGAAGATCTGCTGCAACTGCCAAAACCAAATTAGATGATTAATATTGAACCTAAGGTGCCATATACCAGGTTATTCTGGGATTCAGATTTCATCTTTATTTTTTTTATTTTTCTCACTTTGTCCCCACATCTTCAGTTTCAACTATTTCTAGCTTCAAATATTTTCTTAAAATCACATGTTACAGTAAAAAGACATGTTTTTATGAACAATTGATTACCTGTATATCCTCATTCTGTTTTAGATATTTGGTGGTCGCCATAGTGATGAGCCTGTAGCTGAGATAACTAAAGCATGTCATGGCAACAGTAAAGACTGCTGTGGTACTGAGAACAACTTCATTTTACACTGTGAGTTTTCTGTTAGGCACCAAGAACAACTATATTTTACACTGTGAGTTTTCTATTAGACACCAAGAACAACTATATTTTACACTGTGAGTTATCTGTTAGACACCAAGAACAACTATATTTTACACTGTGAGTTTTCTATTAGGCACCAAGAACAACTTCATTTTACACTGAGTTTTATATTAGACACCAAGAACAACTATATTTTACACTGTGAGTTTTCTATTAGGCACCAAGAACAACTTCATTTTACACTGAGTTTTATATTAGACACNTTCTGTTAGACACCAAGTACAACTTCAATTTACAATGATTTTTCTATTAGACACCAAGAACAACTTCAATTTACATTGTGAGTTTTCTATTAGACACCAAGAACAACTTCAATTTACATTGTGAGTTTTCTATTAGACACCAAGAACAACTTCATTTTACACTGTGAGTTTTCTATTAGACACCAAGAACAACTTCATTTTACATTGTGAGTTTTCTATTAGACACCAAGAACAACTTCATTTTACATTGTGAGTTTTCTATTAGACACCAAGAACAACTTCATTTTACATTGTGAGTTTTCTATTAGGCACCAAGAACAACTTCATTTTACATTGTGAGTTTTCTATTAGGCACCAAGAACAACTTCATTTTACATTGTGAGTTTTCTATTAGGCACCAAGAACAACTTCAATTTACATTATGAGTTTTCTATTTATCACCAAGAACAACTTCTTTTTACATTGTGAGTTTTCTATTAGACACCAAAAACAACATCATTTTACATTGTGAGTTTTCTATTAGGCACCAAGAACAACTTCATTTTGCACTGTGAGTTTTCTATTAGACACCAAGAACAACTATATTTTACATTGTGAGTTTTCTATTAGGCACCAAGAACAACTTCATTTTACATTGTGAGTTTTCTATTAGACACCAAGAACAACTTCAATTTACATTATGAGTTTTCTATTAGGCACCAAGAACAACTTCATTTTGCACTGTGAGTTTTCTATTAGACACCAAGAACAACTTCATTGTACATAATTAGTTTTCTATTAGGACCCATACAGAGCAAGCTTCACTTACTTAACTCTGCATTATACCAAAATGTTCTGATAGTGTCTGAAAAACAGTGTACAAAGATTTAAAAAAAGAAAACATATTATCTGAAAAGTACAACATGTACATTGTAAGTCCTGGATTCAAACTCAGTACCTCCAAATGCNTATTTTTTTTGTACATTATTAGTTTTCTATTAGGACCCACACAGAGCAAGCTTTACTTACTTAACTCTACATTATACCAAAATGTTCTGATAATGTCTGAAAAACAGTGTACAAAGATTTTAAAAAAAATTTCATATTATCTGAAAAGTACACCATGTACATTGTAAGTCCTGGATTCAAACTCAGTACCTCCAAATGCTGGAGCTACAGGACCTGTAAGCCACCCGAACACCATCCTCAACACTCCAGGGGTTAATTACGCTCATCTAAGCTCTCAGCACCACTAGAATATGTCAAATTGAAGGCACAAAGTAAGCTATTCAATTGGTCTCAGGTAAGACAAATTACTGACCAATCACTAGGCTAATACCTGTTCATTGAAGTTAATAGAGGAGCAGCACGGCCAACCCGCTAGTCTTCTTGCCTGTTCCACAAGGTGGCGCCGCACACTGAGCCTTCATTTTTTTTTGTCATGGTATATTCAAGGGGTGCAGAGAGTGTAAGTGAGTGCTGCGATTGGTCGAAACTGTAGGACACATTCCTTTGGTATTACAAAATTGTGGACTTTATTGACTGCAATTTCTTATGTTAACTTTTGTTGTTTTTGCAATCAAATGAATTTGAAATTTCTATATTGTCATTAATTATATAATTGTGTTTGAAGCTATTATGAATTATGAATGTTATGTGATAAATAGAATTTGACATGAGTGTCTATGTAATATTGAATTTTATTAAACTCATTCAATAAATTCAATATGGCATTTACACTCATGTATATAAGACCCTCTATATATATCCTAAGGTACACAATCTCATTGGCATAAGTATTTTATAATGTTGGTGGCCATACTGACAGCCTGTGAAGATGCTTACATTTATAAACAAAAAGCTGTTCCCAGGAAAGTATATATGTTATTAAAGGCAGTCTGTATTGAAATATTGTTCAATCCAGGAAAAATCACGATTAAATTTTGATGAATTTATTTTGTTGCCTAATATCAAATTTGCCAATAACGCTAAAATCTGCTCCACATAAAAATTACCTACTTTGATGTTTTCTTTGATCAGCTAGTAACCATGTTTTGTCTTTTTTTGTTTATTTACAGATTTGACAGATCTTGATGTTCAGGATAAAATTCTCTTGCTAGGTGCTAGTTTTCTCATTGACTACAACTTTTTTGAACGCCAACAAAGATCCTGCTGCTGACAAATATCTCATCCCTACCACTGATAATAGGCTTTCCTAGATCAATCAAGGAACATACCAATTTCCTGCTAAAGGGAAGTTCTGATAACCTGAAAACATCACTTAAACAATCCAATGATCATCAATGCACGCAAATACTCTATTTTCATCTATATATTTTTCAAAGTTTATTTATAACCAGTCATAGTATTGCACAGATGTCATAAGGAATATTAATACGTTTGTACCTTTAAAAGAGATGTTGTGAGGGAAGATAAATCTGACAGATTTGTAATTAAGAAAAAGTAGCAATCTGTTTTTTCTAAGAAAGCTTTTTACTGGCTGTATGTACTGCTAAATGTTTAACTATTCAAGCATTCTGTGATAGATATGTCTTTACTATTTCATGAAAATGTATATGTATTTAATATTTTGGTTATTACTTTTTAACATTTAGGTTGTGTATTGATGCAATTGGTATTTTTTTAACTCAAATTCATTGTATTCATTGTATTCAAACTATATGAAAATGGGAAGTTTGTTAACAATATATACAATTTTATTTCGTTATTATTATTGTTTGCTGTGCATGACCAATGATTTCTCTTCATATTAAGTGAGTAACCTTTACCTTGGCTAATTGACCTTCAACTTTGGTGATTGACCTTCACTTTGAGGTTGATAACTTTACAATAGGTAGCTGAGCTATCCATTAATGGTGGGTTTTGACCTTTTAAATTGTTGTTTATTTGGTTTAATTGTTTGCATCACAGAATTTTAACCATTCATGGTTTACCATCACCACAGGTGTCTGACCTTCAATCTGATTGATATACAGATTCATTTTGATGGTTGATCTTTATCTTGAAAGATTGAGTTTGACACTTCATGATTGATAATCATATTTAGTGATTGACTGTCATATTTGGTGATTGACATTCACATTCGGTGATTGACTTTCCCATTCGGTGAATGACTTTCACATTCGGTGATTGACTTTCACATTCAGTGATTGACATTCACATTCAGTGATTGACATTCACATTCGGTGATTGACATTCACATTCAGTGATTGACCGTCACATTTGGTGATTGACATTCACATTCAGTGATTGACCTTCACATTCAGTATTTGACCTTCACTTTCATTGATTCAATTTCACGTTTGGTGACAGACCTTCATGTTTGGTACTTGTGTACTAGTTACATATATCTCANCTTTACATTCGGTGATTGACTTTCACATTCAGTGATTGACTTTCACATTC